TAAAGTACGCTTCTGAAAAACGACCGGCTTAATTATGTGGGAGAAGAAGAACAAAGACTTCGTGAGCGTCTTTACTCCCAAAATACAAATAATAATGCTTGTGATTCTCGCGTATACACATATATGGTCGAACTGACCTCGACAGAGCTATTCATTATGGGTAGGTATCCTAAGTACATAATTCACTTACAAGAGCCATGTACAATTAAACTTGCACTATTTATCCACCATGTGATCGGATCGGAGTTGGTCGGTATACTCAAGACTGTAGTTCCTGATTGTTTATTTGTTTATTAAAAAAAGCGATAAAACAAGACAAGTAGATCACTAACTTGACCTGGTTTCGGTTGGGTATATTTTACAATTTCTGATTTCATAATTGGAATATGTGGAGGAACTGACGATGATGAATATACAATCGATGCCGATGATAACATTCGGAAACGGATTAATTGTTCACATTTTTTGAAAATAATCTGAATATATTGGTTCATTTGTACTGGATCTGATAAATAAACGAAAAAAGTGCTATAATGTAATGAGGCGTTCTTTCTAAAATAGAAAATTTGAACAAATTTGACAAACATTTACATCTTGTTTCATGTGAAGAACTCCACCAAACATCCCTAGTAAAACTAATTCTACATATGGTATGCCAACACATACGTTACCGCTAAGGTCACAATGATTAGTGAAAATCCACAATATACTTTCAACTTTACCGGCTACATCTCAGCAGAATTCTGGGAATTGCTTCTCGAGTTTAGTGAATGTATTGGTTATTGCTAGTTGAGTTTTGGGGTATCGTTGATATCTCGAACTGACATTAGTTATACAATAATTGAACACCAGGAAGGACTGGTCTGCTGTTTTGTCCTAGTGCGGAATTCCTCAACAGGGACCTTCCATGACTTATCAAGCGATCGAACTCAGGTCATTCAGGTCTCAGGTCGAGTGCTTAGATTTAAGACCACTGGGTTGGTATCCAAGATAAGTTCATCAGTTTCCACTTCCTTATACCATCCTCATCTATTACTATCATTATAAATACTTTATTCTTATTTCATGATCGCTACCAAATTTATCATGTTGTCTAACCTATTGATAGCATTTACGACATGTTCATTGTGGTCGATTATGGTATCATCTCTCTCACTCTGTTTGTCCATAAATCTCACCTGCATAAATATTGGAAGTAGGATTTTGACTAAGCTAAAAACTGCTCTAATTGATTTCATCACAGATTGACCTTAAATGGGGAAGTATTGATAACCAGGAAGTACTGTAGACTTATTTTAGTCATAATCAATAACTGTCCACTAATGAGTACTCTTATCATACACTGTTCTCCAATTCTCGCGAAAAAAAGTTAGGGAACTGAATTGTAATTTAATAATTCGAATTCCCAACTTCAGTCGAATTGTGATGAGTAACGACTGTAGATTGTAATCGGTGGTACCTATCTTGCTTTCCACATTGTTGAACTGCAACAGTCACAAATTCTCACAACTTCGGGAATTCATCTCGAGACTAGTTATTAATTAATAAACGGTCCCTTTCAGGATCTTGGCTGTACACTGGCAAAACGTTCCAAACTAAAAACAAAGCAAGTTTCCAGTGTCTCTTAGTTTGAATGACGAAAATCATCTCAAGTAACGATCAAATCTCCACGATCAATCAAACAAACTGCAACATGAAAAATGTAAGATTGATTACAGACTTTATGAAACTCTATAATTATAGTAGTAAATCTTTTTTTCGTTGGTATACTAACAAAGCAAACACGAATATGAATAGCCAGTTTTGTTAAATAACGCAGATGATTCACAATTGATTGATCACTGGGTGGTGATCAATGTCATGCTTGTCTAGTCCTTATTAGTGCAGATCGAATGCTATCGATCATGTTGCAATGTGGCCACCAGTCTAGGTGACTCGACACTGCGGGCACTATGTATTGAGATTTAGATGGTGGTTGGAGGTAGTCAACAGGAAACCCTGGACCCGGGTTTCGTGTTACTTGGCCCTCGTCAGCAAGGTGTACCTGTAATCTTCAGGGAACTGATGCTCCCTGGCGGATTCGATCTCGTGTCACCCAGCTTCACAGTCAGAGACGTTACCACTGAGCTATCCGAGCCGTGACCAACCTCCTGTAGGACTGAGATGTAATCACATTGATTGATCACTGGGTGGTGATCAATGTCATGCTTGTCTAGTCCTTATTAGTGCAGATCGAATGCTATCGACTGTGAAGCTGGGTGACACGAGATCGAATCCGCCAGGGAGCATCAGTTCCCTCAAGATTACAGATACACCTTGCTGACGAGTGCCAAGTAGCACGAAACCCGGGTCCAGGGTTTCCTGTTGACTACCTCCAACCACCATCTAAAACGCAGATGATTATATATAAAGCTGGTCACAAATGGCCTTTGTTTGAAGTTTTATTAAATATCGTTTACCAATCAATTCAACTCTTTTAGATTTTTAAAAATAAAATTAACCTAGTGTAATAATGTGTACTGGCTGACTAACTGAATCTAAATGAGCAACAAGTCATGATGAGTAATGCTTTATTTTGTGCTTATAGGACTTTATTTTTTTTAAGGAATGTTCTTATGATCAGTGACAGAAGTGAAATGTACATCCTAATATAGTTTATGAACATTATAGAAATTCAATGCAGATGATGTTCTTGGAAGGAAATCGACCAACTGAAAACGATAACGTCCCAAAAGAAAAACGGAACCTTGGAAAAATCAGGCTACGTGGCAACAGCACAAAGTGGAATACATGAGAGGGAATTTGGGGACATCGATGACTAAATACTGTAAAATCGACCAAATTAAAAAGCCTTCCCTTATTGTTATCGCGTTTAACAGACCAAACTCAGCTAGAGCACAATACGATAATTTCAGAATTGTCCCATTTGTACTTTAACTGGTATATTCTGAGAATCGGTTCAAAAACGAACCACAAAGAACGAAAGTATGGACATCCACCGTAAGTGAACTATGTAATGATGTAACTCCAGATGCCTACAAAACACTGATTAACTCGAATGTGATGAAGATTCCTGCAACAGAAATTACTATTAAACGTCATATTCAGATCTTATTACGAGTTTCATACAACTAAATCCATTGATAAATCTAACAGACCAAAAAAAGGTTTGTAGAATAAAATGAACTCATCAGTCTATTTCACGGTTTTTCATAAGCTGCATACAACTTAAATTATAACTACTAATATAATTGTTAACAAATCCTCAAAAACACTATATGTATAAAATGTCCCGATGTAATACTGAATTGAAAAGAATATATGCATAAAATGTCCCAAATTAACAATGATACACTAAGATATCAAATTAACAAATCTAAGGTACGATCGCAATAATCGAAAACAGTCAATAAAAGTCTTAATGAACTGATTGATGATTCAATTAACAAGAATCTGAAGGCAAAAGGATCACGACTGCTTTTCGTACATGGTCTTAATAAAGTGCACAAATCCAACATCCCGTTAATACCTATAATGTTTATGATTGATTCACCAAATCATAAGTTGGCTAAATTATTAGAACCAATTTGTAGAACACTGAGGACCAATAGTTTAGTTCCAAAGAAATGGATCATTTGAACACATCCGACAGATTCACGGTATATTATGATGTGTTCATTATTTATGAGTATAACAATAGGAGCAAATAGTATAGCTAGCAAACAATCTGAATTACTTCTTTAACCTCAAAGCGAGTCACTCCTTTGCGCGAAACGGGATTCGTTTCCAATCCAACAACCAGTTATACAAACAAACTGACGGAGCGGCCACAGGATCACCACTAGGACCCATCTTGGCCGATATCTTCATGGCTAACCTAAAAAACGAAACTAATGTACATACTACTCCAGATATGCTGATGATAAGGACCATACCTCTCCGTTACTTAGTCACTTCGAAAACTCGTCCCAACGAAATGATTACAGTTGAATATGAGAGATAACCTGCTCAGTCACCATAAAACGTCCCCGATCTAACCTATGCGTACAAGGTGTAGTTAGCCTTTGGCTGACATAGTGACTGGGTACTTACCCAATAACCTCTATTCATTTTCGATTCTTTTCTAACTCTGTCCCCAAATGCTTGTTTTTATTGTCTTTTGATATCTAACTCTTACATATTCTAAATGTCCACATATTCCTTTATTTTATCATGACCGATCGCATAGTAAGTTATTAATTTCATTACCTTGACATGACCTTTGAATTCTTAACTTCCCAACAAATAAATACACATCGGTCATAACTATGTCTATTCATACACTTTGTATCCCTATTCTTTTAATTGTTATAGTTTTGGCTACGTTTAGAACATTTATCTAAATTTCACAAACTATAGAATGCTAAACGTTTGTTAGTAATTATAACAATGATTGTAATCTTGGGTTGTATGCAACTGATGAGAAACTGCAATAACTTTATATCTTTCTTTCAACGAAGTAATTCTTCCTCCCTGTATCACATCCCTATGTGAAATCTTTTTTACTACGATTGAAGTGACTGCTTCAATGAGTTTGGTGTTTATCCTGTTGTGCTGAGGTATGACAACTTCGACCGATACATATATGTACCTGGTCCCTACGTTGTAGCTGACTGATGAGAAAACGTAAAATAGACGGACAAATTCATTTTACTCTGCAAATCCTGTTGTCCCTATTCTGTTTAAACTTATTACAAGTGTTTGGCTTAGACTTAAGAATCGGGCCGTAATAAATCAAGAAGCCATCAGTTTGTAGATTTTATATTACAATCGAGTTCAAGACACTACGCTTAATCTGTAACGTGTTTTGTATAGATATGAAACACTTAAATGTAATCCTGTAAATAAAACATCAAATTCACCCAAGTGAACTTTTCTAAATAGCTAACTCTTCAAACAACACATCAGAAACATTGAGAACACGCAAATTTATCCACATATTTATTTGTAGTTAGACAATTTTATGATGCACTTTTATCTGTTTGTCCTTTAGATTCACGTAAGGAGTGACTTCGCGACCGCTTGCGTTCTGCACGCTCATCGCGAGCCTGTTTTCGGCGCTGAGCAAGCAATTTGGCGTATTCTTCTTGTGTCTTTCTGCGAGTTTCTATGCGCTGACGCTTCAGTGCATGCCTTCGGCGTCTACGCTGTAATCTCAGAGGTGTTGTTAAACGCTGAATCTTCGGAGCTTTGGAACGCTCTTTCTTTCCTTCTTTAGCTGGGACAGGCTTCCGCACAACGAACTGACAAACATTATCCTTCTTCGACAGATTAAACAATTTCCTAATTTTTGAAGCTCTCTTAGGCCCAAGGCGTCGAGGGATACTGACGTCAGTCAAGCCAGGGATATCGTTTTCTCCTTTGCGTACAACAACCAGATTAAGGACACTTAAGTTACTATCAACTATACAACCACGTACGCTCTTGCGTCGTCGTTCTCCTTTACGTCTAGGACGATAGCATGAACTTCCTTTGCTCAACAGCAATTTGACACGGCCATTAGTTAAAACTCCTTGCTTCATAGGGAAACCCTGTTTATCATTTCCACCAGTTATGCGCATTATGTATCCTTTCCATTCGTCCCCCATAAAGTCAACTGGAAGCTCATGGGACATACGTTTATCATAAAATGGGCGAAGTTTAAGTTCTTCATCGACCTCAATACACTTTTGAGTCCCATTGGACGGAAACGCTATGTTAAGCTGAAAAAGGACAAAAGGTTTACATGGAATTAATGAGATTTGTGAATAAAGATACCAAGTAATTTAGAGCCGAATAGGATTGTCTTATGCAAGTTATATACTGTTTAGTATGGCAATACCGTGAAAAAGAATGCTTTAACCGATCGAAAATTGATACAGGTCGTGTACGAATGTACACAGCTTTGTGTCAGCTCACATTGGTGGACGTGGAAAATTTAAATACTAAGTGTTGTAATATTGATAATTAAGATATAGATGGCTCAAAAAATGAATATCAAAATGTAAAACAATGGTTGAAATCGAAAGTAGAATAACGGATACATGTCTGTATCACTGCGATTAGATTTAGGTTATGTTACCTAAGGATCTACCAGAGGTTGTAATTATTACTGGTACCTGAAGAGAACCTAGACCTTCCTATTCGACCTAGATTAGCATTTAGTAACTAAGAGTAGTGCTTAAACACCCTGGTTTTTATCTTATAACTATCTTATATGCTATAATATTGGTATTACTCAGTCAGCCAGTCAACTACAACGTAGGACCAGGTACATGTGTACATCGGTCCAAGTTGCCATACCTCATTAGCACAACAAGATGAACACAGGATTCATGAAGTAGTTAATTCAATGGTGGTAATATATAAAAGAAAGATTGTACATAAGGATATAGTACAGGAAGAGCCCCAAAATGTCCTGGTACGGCCGAGAGTGGGGAGAGTCCGCTCTCCCTCTCCAAATGTTCTTACATGGCCACGCGTATATAGCCTCTGCCGGAGAAGTCCTACTCATTGCCTTCTATTGACAATGTTGTTTACGAAAAGCGAATTCCCGACGCTTAATCCGAGTTGGTGGATATAGAGGATCCACCTAGGAGAGTTGGAAAACTCTGACTCCAAACCAAAGGTGCATATAGGCTCCAGGATCCTGAAGGAGAAAATTGAGCATGAACCAATCGTTGGTCACCGGCTTCCATGGGACTGCATCTCCTTACGATGCTCCACTACCTTGTGGATCAGAACTTCAGGTCAGAGGCTCCGGGTGTGACCCCCTAAGAAAACCACCTGCTTCGGTTTGGGCACCCGGGCAGTATTACAGCCCTCACACATATCAAATGAGGTCTGTGTGGCGCATATGTATTCGGTGCTTCCTTGTACCAATTTCTATGTGTTAAAATAAATAATAAGAAAACACCGACGCCATTGTGATCGATTTCGAGTCATATCACCCAGAGTCTCCAACCACCAGTTACGGTAGTCACGCGAACCATAACCAAGTAGTCTGCATCTACCAACATGGTTCTAACTGGAAGTTAGTGATTTCAATGACTGATGCTACGTTTTAGTTTGGCCGCCCCTAACTTTCTCCCAATCAGCTCGTACACTAGTCAGCATTGCCATCGTGGTAATCGGTGTTCAGGCATACGCAGCACGTGGCCCAACGATCTCAGTCGATGAAGATACACGTATCAAAGGAACGATGGTTAGAACGTACTGCGCGTGCCTAGCCACTACAGTCCATGGCGAAGTGAAACCTCTGTAGGTTCGCCAACTTTACCTAGAACCTTAATCATGACAACAATAGCACTAACATGTGTGAAACTCCGAAGACTGTAGGATAACAAACTACGCATGTCCTCTAATTTATAAAACTTCGTCCCAGGGATTTCATGTAATAAAAAGCAGGCTGCTGCAACCGATGGACAGACACGCATCCATCCCGTGTATTTTATTTATTTGAACACACAAACATTGATACAAAGGGGTATCGAATACATATGAGTCACTCAAGTCACTTGAGTTGTGTGTGAGCTGTGATACTGCCTGGGTGCCCAGAACAATGCAGGTGGTTTTCTTGGGAGGTCACACCTGGGGCCTCCGACCTAAAGACCTGACCAACAAGGCATTGAAACAATGAAAGTAGATGCAGTCCCATGGTAGTCAGTAATCAACAATAGCGTTATACGTCTTTTGTTTCCTCAGGATCCTAGACCCCAAGTGCACTGCTGGATCGGAATCAGTGTCTTTCAAATCCTCTATAGGGATTCTCCGTATTTACCAACCCTGTTAAAGCGCCGGACATTCGCTTTTCGTCTTTTCAATCCCGCAAACAAAACGTCCGCCGCGACAAGGGAGTAGGACGTCCTCGACAGTGGCTATATACACGCGGCGATGTGAGCATTTTGAGAGCCGATTCGCCCCACCCTCCGCCGTACAAGGGCATTTGGGAGCAGCCCGTACACTTGCTGGAAATTAAGTGAGCGTCATATGGTGATCAGGACACCGGTCACGTATGCGTAATTACTACCAAACTTTAGGGGCAATGTTTTTCGTCGTTGCACGTTAGCAGAAGACAGCAGCCAAATCAAGACATATTAGTTTATGAAACTATTGTACCATATTGACAAATGCAAACTGTCTAGTCGGGATCTGCATTGTAGCTTTAATTCGCAGCCGGAGACACTAGGCAACGACTCAATATCATTTACTATGGCCTAGACATACTCTTTATTTCCCTACCTCGAACCTTTAAAACACTTTAGACACACCGCGCCGTCCTTCAGAATTCTGTTCTTCATCCTTAGTCTTTTTTGCGGTAGCTACTATATAATTATATCCACCAATATATCCTGTAATTTTTATTTCGTCAAACTAATGTTATATGGCAACTTAGGCCCACGGACATCTATCCTAGGTCCTACTTTGATGATTGAGTTAATTACATAACTAGAAACATCCCCAACGACTGGCCCATTAGTCCTGGTGAGATAACGGGACTCAACTAGCGGGTGAAAACGGTGGCACATCATTTTTGTGGTTTATCCATTAAAAACGGTTTAGTGAATACTTCACATGTTAATTAACAATATGTTGGAATCTTTACTGCAAGCTTAAGATCGAGATATTTTACGGTTTCGACTGGATATTCCGTTTAACAAGGACCCTTGAAAAAGTTTTGACAAATACTTGTTAACGTACTGTGAAAACTTTACTGATAATCTGTACCACTGCAAACAGAACTCTTTGTGAAAGAACCTCGATCACAAGCTAGCCGACCTTAGCATGTACTGGGAAAACTGACGGGTATATACTTTTGTATGTAATTATCGGGTACCTAACTATGTAACCGAAGACATTTTTGTAACACCACCACTCGAAATACTGAGAACACGAAGTATTTTAGACCTACACGTGGTCAAGTTAGCGAGTCAAATGGCGTGGTATATAAGCGGACATCCTAGGGGTATTTTAGCATAAACTATAGTCTCACCACCTGTCTTGGATATGCGACTATAAGTCGCGCCTCTCGGGTTTCTGTATGTGGACTGACTATTCATTCAAATACTCGCTCACTGATGAGTATACAAATGACAGTCCAGTTTGACGGAGCACCGACAGTCATTAAAACATTACTGGTAACAGTTTAATATTCAGGACGCTTTCTTTGCTGTGGCAAATGTTCCCTAGGTGACCTACGTGCCTCACTACGTAGCCTTAATGTAGGGAGTAGTGTATCTGACCTTTGTCGGTCCTAGGACTCGGCATCTAGCGGAACATCAATAACGATGCATGTTTATTCAGTTAATTGCATCATTAACTGGAACAAATGAAGTATACATTGCCAGTCCTGACATCATTTCTGATGTGATGTGGCTTACAGAAGTTTGAGTCAGAGATCTCTAAGATGTAGTTTATTTCAAAGTTCCTAGGAAGATATGACACCACAAAGGAAGTAATACGCCCATTTAAACACCGAATACTAACCCATAGGGTCCTTGGAATTTGCACCCGACGACTCTTGACTAATTTACTAATAAACAACATTTGCCGTATGTTATACATAACTTCTTATCTTTACATACTACTGCAGTCAGTTTATATTACTTGACTAAGTTTTTACAGTGGTGAATCCCTAGCTTTATTATAGTCCAAATATGAGCGATCCATACAGAATCTTCGAATCTCAAAGCACTAACAGACAGTGACGACCAGACGATAATTACTGAAGCACTTGCTGAACCTTAAATGATATTAGACACAAGCAACAGCAGTTCGATTATATGAGAAACACCACCACGAATGACAGCTGGACAGCTAGCAAGATAGAACTGAGGTTTCAGAGCCAAATACCTTCACATTGGCACCAATACGGAAACACAAGAAACTCACCTTCATCACGAGGACAAACAACAACTGCCGCTACTGCTGTAGACAACGCCCGGTTAAACAAATGTTTTCACGTGAAAATGTACTCAATGTTTCATTCTCAAACCCACAATATAATGCATGTGTGAAACAACATTCTAGTAATCATTTCGAGGAAACGTTACACGTAAGAGTGTTCTTTTGTCCCCAATTCATCTCTTTTAACGTCCTTACCTTACGCGAGACTGAGAGTTAAAAGAAAATGACAAGTTGAGGTCGGGATGTAAGTAACATTATAGATTTCCTGAACTGGTGTATTTTTTGCCATATATAGTATTCACTCACACATGACCAGTGTTCTCTCTTGGTTACGGTTGACTTAGAGTCGATGTTAATATGATAACACAGTGACCTATCGCTTTGGTATTATTTTTGGTTTGATTTCCTTCAACTTAATCAAATCAGAATTTTTTACTTGGTAACTTCTTCACTCCGTAATTGTTGTAGCAGTAAGTAGACCCGACGCACAAAAAAGGTTCCGTGAGTTTTCGACACTAATGCTGACCTCACTAGTTTTACCGGAAACATTCCAGATAAAGCGCTCACCTAAGCATCACCGTCAGACCATTATAGGGAACGCCGCGCTACGCGTCTCTTCCGACAAATAATCAGAATACATCTCAAACTTCTTGACATATCGACTATCTTTAAATATGTCTTTAAACTCCTTCATTATTGACCGATGGTTTGAATCGATTTCTGATCCTCGATCATAAAAGTATTACAGACAACAGCGTTGTCAAACCCTAAATATCCGTAACGTCTTAACCATAACTTTCAGCAAAGCACGATCTTCAACAAACTAAGTTTTTGGCCATGTTTACTCAGATACATTCAAGAAGCTAATTAGAGAGATATACCGTCAGTCATGTTCCGTTGTTCAGGTTCTCAATACATTCAGGATCACAAGTATAATAACCTATTAGTATTTCCACAAGTTGTTTACTTCCATAAGCTGGTGGGCTAGTTATCTTAAAAAACACTTACCCATTACTACTACGTCATATAACTTCTCCGAGTTTGACACAAACTTCATCAGTAACAATTACGAAATTCCAAGAGATACTCGCGGATTTACCCAATTTTGCCATAGCGAACCCTCAGTCTTCCAAAGGTAAACTAAAGTTAAGTCATACGGTCAAAACTGAAGAGGAACCTGTGTTTGCTAGATTAAAGAGCTGAGCACCCAATAAGAATAAAATCGGTAGAGCTGAATCGCCTACACGCTACAGCCGGGTATTCTTCGTCCCTCTGATAGCCAATGGGGATTCGTTCTGCATATGATCCCAAGGAAAAATGTAGGCGATTACGAAAGTGTGAGGATTACAGATCCTTCAACCGTCAAACAGTACCAACCATGTATCCAATACTTCGTATCCGAGATTTTAAAAACAGCTTACATTGTTTGAACATACTAAAATTGATTGATCAGGGCACATCACAACGTGCCAGTGGCTGGGGAAGATATCCCTAAGACACCTATGACAACACCTCTTGAACTGTTCGTGTTTGTATGCGTGCCGTCCGGCCTGAGAGACGGTGCAAAAATGTTCCAAATATTTATGGATAACTTACTTCAGAATATGTCATTTGTGCAGAGGTATACGGACGACTCGTTAAATGCCAGTCCGGATTGAAAATTACATGAACAAAACGTGGGAGCAATGTTATAATGACTGAATGAAAACGGAGTGAATATACATCAAAGTAGGTGAGTTTTCGGTGCTCGAACTCTAGAATTTCTCGGACATACAATAAGCCCAGAAAGGATTACACCGATCATAGAAGAGGTGGACACCATTGCGCAATACCCGATATACAGTCCTCTAGCTTCAGTCAATTATCATCGTAAATTCATACCTAGTTGAGCACAATTAATCTTCGTGGCACTGTGATATACTAACTGGATATCTAACCCACAATACAGAAGCTGTAACCATCTGATTTTCTTGTAATTTGGAACTAGTTGAGACAGTATATTCTAACAAAGACCTTGGATTACAGCAATATTGATACACACCACAAACATAAGAGAGCCTAACATCCCAAAAGGAGGAAAGTTGGTGTTGCTAACCAGCAAACATGATGGTGAAGTGATATCTTCGATCCATCCACTTCTGTAGGGCAGAACATTTTGTTAAACTACGGCTCCTTACGGCCACGTGGTGATGTCGCAAACCAATGGTAATAATGCCAATTTATTATACAACATACTTCTTTAAGTCTTGTTTGTGACATTGAAATAGTTTCACTTCCTATCGAGTAATCCTATTACAGCCAAAACTAGACAATTTGCCAAAAACGAAGCCTGTTCATGACCTTACAAAATCAATCAGGCGACAGATGCATTATCTCGGCTAGAAATGAACGTAATACAACAATCCACAATACATTTCCAATGGTTGAAAGAAAACCAGAAAGAGGATCAAGAAATGCGAAACCAAATTATGGCAAAGAACTCTTGTCTCAAACTAAAACAGCTACCATCACCTGTTGGCTGCAGTTTGGTCTACTTTGACATGAACAAGGCGATGCCTCGGTCTTTCGTCCCAAAAATTAATAGTTCTCATACTTTGATTCATCCTGGATCTAAAACTACTAACAAACTAATCAATGCTGGAAATAATAATAATAATTTTATTCTCAAATAACAGTTTGTTACATGAGGCATGCCAGTTTACAGGCAAGATCAAATTGATACAAATGATACAATATCCACTGTAGTAAATTACATAGCTGGGTTGATAATTTATAAGATATGAATGTAGATGGTTTTAATCAGTACTACAGTTGGCGCGCTTCACGAGAGTTGCGTTGCGAATGTGCAACTGATGGTCAAGGATAGGTCCATGAAGGTGGGAGCTTCTAAATGTCGCAACCTTATGTCACTTTGGAATGTCTAAGGCTTTGAGGATGGTGCAGGATGAAATCTTTCGTTCCATATCGCAAGGGGGCTGAAAGAGGGAGCAAGTAAAAGAAAGGACGAGAGGCAGAATAACCTATATTCATATGGCTACATTTACAAAGAAGGTGTAAATAAGTGATTTACAGAGCGTTTGGAGTGTTAAAAATCATAGATTAACCATCGCTAAGCCTCACTTGTCGGAGTTTTAGCAAAGACAGATGCCTACTTTTCCCGTGTTCATAACGATTCGATAATACTTTAACCGCGTCCTGATGGTTTTGGTTATTTATTTACATTACTTACGCTTGTTGGGCCGCCTACTAGCACTCTTCATCCAGCTCTGTCCTGGGCAATCATCTCCCGTTGCTATTCATCCTTTTCATGTCTGCTTCCAATTGACGACGTAGTGTGATCTTTGGCATTGCTCTTTCCATCTCCAAGTTAGCAGTTGCTTCGTGATGCAGTCTGATGATTTCTGTAATGTATATCCTATCCACTTCCGACGTCTTTTCCTAATTTCCTTTTCAACAGGAGTTGGTTTGTTCTCTTCCACAGTAGGCTGTTGCTGATGGTATCTGATCAACGGACATTGAGTATCTTGTGTAGACAACTGTTTATAAGTACTTGTAGCTTCTTGATGATGGTTGTAGTAGTTCTCCGAGTTTCAGCTCCATACAGTAGAACTGTCTCGACGTTAGAATTGAAGATTCTGACTTTACTACTGGTTGACAGTTGTTTTGAGTTCCATATGTTCTTCCCTCCGTTTACATGCATAGGCAAATCCAGAAAGTTTTCGATAACCATACCGATAACCGATATTACAGCTGAAACCATGGCTAAAGCTTTCATTCAGAACTAGGTGACAATTTTTAGTACGCCTATTACAATAACTTCTGAGCTGGTCAACAACTTATCTAACATTCTAGGCTTCATTAGAATACTTTGCACAGTGTATCATCCCCAGGCTAATAGAACGGTAGAACGTTTCTGCCGTCCGTTGAAGGCTCTTCTAATGTCATACCCGAACCCCAGTCATGTTGGGAATAAGGAACGCTGTCAAGACTGATTCACAGCGTTCAGCAGCAGACCTAGTCTTCGTGACAATCCTAAGACCACTGAGTGAGAATATCAGTCTTTGTACTGAAAGTAAAGAGCTTGATTTCTAGAGTTACGTTGATCGACAACGGGACTAAACGTCCAAACTGAGACCAATGAATACTCGTAAATAGATCCCAACAACACATATATATAAAGGACCTAAGCACTTACATGCACGTCTGGATAAGGTGCAACAAAGTAAAATCATCTACTCGCCATCCAGTCGAAGGTCCATACAAATTGGTCTCGAGAATACTTAAATATATTCTTGTACAGAAACATGGAAACATCGATTCAGTAGGTATTGACATGCTGAAACCAGCTTATCTAGTTAATGAACCACCATAAGTGTAGAATCCAAGCTAAGGTTTGGACTGAAGAATAACTGTCTTGGTAGTTTGGATGCGCGCTATTGCCCAGTTGAAACCAATAATTGTTCCATCTATAAATCAATCAATCGCAACAAATAAATGCTATTCTGTCCTTTCTGGATATATCACGCACATATTTGTAACAGCTTAAGTTAATTAGTTAAGAGTCGACCTCAAACAACTAAATATATGTCAAAACAATAGAGCTCAAGTATTCATTTACTTCCTTATTTTGTATAGACATTATATTCCCTATTATCTTATATTGAATGTTGTAGAATCTTCGTGTGTTTGAACAGGTAACCCCCGTCTCCACTGTGAATGCCTCAAGATCTAAATAAAGACCCATTCACTACTAGTTTCTTTTTTCTATCAATAGAAAGAGGGTTCTCCACAAGCACGAAGGATTCGTTCGAAAGACAATATTTTGTTGCTTTATAACACAAAATATTTCTAATCCTCAAAGAGTGCTTTAACTCACAACCGAAAATGAACAATTCCAGTCAATGCAAGCAACACAATCAAAGGGGGAACACATCAATATGGCTGCCACCAAGACCTAGTATCAACTAAGCAACATAAATGCAGTTCAGGAA